GGGTGAATACATCTCATTACAATGATTTACTGGTAGTCTCGAAACCCTACTCAATTACGAATATAATATATCTAAGTCGGGATATCAAGTTTTTAGTAATTATAAAGTAAGTAATGGATGAGAAGCTTTAGATGTCTAGTCTCCTTATTTTTGCATAGACATTATGCTATATGCTACTTAAGCTTTATGGCATGGATTTGCTGATAAGTGGTGAGGTATATAAAAGCAAATTTATTAAAATGTTACATATTATTATTTACCTATATTTGCATCCAACTTCGAACAATCAAGTACCCCTGAGCTTGGCCCAAGGCCAGCCAGAGCACGCTGACCACTGGCGGGTCTATTATACATAGTTTGGGATGAGCAAGCCTTTATGCCCCATTCAGACTCAGCCTGAATGGAGTCTGAAAGCCGATCCCGAATCCGTTGGCTAGTAGCAGCATCCGAAGTAGTATTTATTGAGGCACCATAACAGGTTGAATGGGGGTCAGGGGAAGAAGAGTAAGTATCTGTTTCTAGCATTTCAGCAGAGCGAGAAGTGTCTAAGTCAGAAACAGCCATTTGGATTTCATTGGAAGCAGAAGTAGAAGCGAAGAATTTGAATGAATTAAGTTCCTGATTTGCAAAAGAAGATTTATATAAATGCAAGGTTTATAAACTAGGTGATAAGATAAAGGAAATAGAAGACTAAGAAAACTGCCAACGAAATTGGTACCGAAGCACCCTTGCAGAGTGAGAGTAAAAATGCAAGATAAAAGTTCTCTCCGACCCACCTTAGCGTCTAAATAAGGTTAAAGTAGGACCGTGGAATGGAGAAGTTCCTTTTTACCCAAATAAACTATAATATTATCCAATAAATTTGGAAAAACAAAGGTATCGACTGTCCACATAAAATCCAGTTTACTCAAACTCTTTACATATGCAAGCTTAGAAATTCGACAAGTAAATAAGTGATTGAAGTGGAATAAATGGGGGCTTGGAGCAACCTTCTCCCAAAGAAAAGTATGGAATGACCAAGTATATGATCTAATTTTAGAATTAATTCTCTTACCGCAGCTTGCATTATTATGGCCAAGCTCATTAAATAATCCATAAATAACGTGTGATTTGGCGAAGATCGGGAGGTTATCCTTGACAGATTAGAATAAATGCAATGTGAAGGACAAAAATAATACCCCCGCCGGTTAGATCTCGATTCGTCGATTTTATCTATAATAAATTTTCATCTATAAACGAATCTGTGGTTGGTATCATATAGAAAAGGATAATAAGATTGACTTGATCATACATTCTAAAAAGAGCAATTTTAGGCAAGACTGGTTAGAAAAAGATGAGCACCTGAGAATTTACTTCATGCATATTTCCCTAACACGATAAGATAACACTCTTGAAGTCCAAACTTGGTTTCAGTATTGCGCCAAACAGTAATTTGTTGCATCAAAATTCAGATAATGAAGGTACTCTCAAGGTTAGAAACAAACTAGCTAACAACATAGTCATCGAATATAATAGCAAACAAAAGTTTGTCTTATCAACAGCGGTCCAAATATAAGTGTTAGATTGTAAATATAGATGGTGTGGGCCTATTGTACTGATGATGGCACCTCTCACTGACGATACCAGCGAAACGCTTTTAATGTACCAAGTCAATAGTCCGATGCTAGAAATCACGAATACTCTGGCCGAGGACACAGGACCACGATGTCTCCCTGATGCTCCGACCAAGTTGCGAACACGAGGTCAAGCCAACACTATACAAGTGTTAATTTGAAAGAGACCAGCCTTCCTCAAGAGGATCATCTTCCCAGTGGCCAACTAGTACTCATGGCTATGGCGAATTAGTATCGTTACCGCTTGATGAACACGGCCCTGTGTCGAATTTAGTCGAAGGTGGAGATAAACTTTAGGCGGAGTAGAAACTGCAGACCACCCAGGATGAAAAGGCCTTTTGGAAGGCATAATTACATTAAATTTAATAGCGCCTGTCAGCACTATTTTCCAGTGGTAAATCCAACTATAGATCTATGCATTAACTTAGACATCCTAGAATGGCTGATAGTTTCGCAACTTACTCACTTGGTATAAAGATGAACGATCATTATGAAAACATCAACTAAGCCTACTATAGATAGGATCCACATTTTATAGGTAAATCCTATTAGATGTAGTAAAGCGAAATTCATGATAGCCTAGTATTGCTTTTAAATTGAATCGTAGGTGTATTTTCAAAATTAGCACTTTCAAATGAATTCATATTCTTGAGACATTATCCTATATAAAATGGAGCCATTTCATCATTGATTTACATAGCATAGTTAGCATTACTTAAAGGGGATGCTGAAATTGCTGATACGACGGAGATAAGCGAGAATAAAACCCTGAATAGTAATAGCTCTGTCAAATAACTTAAGATCATTATCAGTCTGTCTTCAACTATAAGGAGCTTATTAATATCACTACAGTTAAATGAAATCAAACATGAATAAGCAGGTTAGAGCTCGCTTAAAGAAATAAATCATGTATAACCTTTGATGCGAAATCAAAGAGAATGATTACTGCCTTTTTCTGATAAAATTCCAATTTTTGTGCACTCCCATTTCAAATGAAAGTGCGTGATGAAGAGATTCGAAGGTCGATCCCACAAATTCCACTTGGCCAGGCGTCGATTGATTCCACTAGAACATTCTAGATGACGTTTGCCCATAAGCACTCTCCTTCGATTCCGGTGAAAATGTGCTAAAATTTCGCCTGTTGTATTACAGAGAAAATCAGAGCAGGGCATCAAGAAAACCCAATGGCCTATCCCAATAACGGATAATTAAATTTTCCCACAAAATTATAAGTAGGCCTCATAATGTCAACGAATTTGACCAATAAACCCGTGTTGTAACTATGATTGAAGAAGTTAATGATAAAACCAGTATAGGCTTGTTTCCTATATAAATCTCTTCCCGAATTCCTTCCTGCTGTGATAAACGAAGCATCTAAT